AATATAAAAATATGTCAATACCTGTTCCATCTACTGGGTAAACTTACTTTTAAATACATCAGAATAACATCGCAATCTGTATTATCATCTTTATTTCCAAAATCTTCTGCTTTCTCCATTATATCTTCAAACTTGATATCATCGCCAAACACTTTAATATCACCTTTCTTTGTCTCGTCGTCTCCTTCATTGTGTGATTTTAATAACTCACTTAGGTAGTCTTTATCTACTTTGTCCATTGCATCTTTGAAATCATTTCGGAAACCCTGAAAATAAGGAAGATTATTTATGAACACATCTGGCAGTGCGAATTTGTAAAATGTTGTGTCACTGAAATAATCCATCCAATGTGTTGTCACAGTCTTCCTTATTAGAAAAATATGCATTATATTCCAACATATTTTTTGTTTATATCAGATGTAGTAACAATGTAGTGCATGGCCAAAATAGAACCACATCTATGAATGCAAATGGTTGATAATTTTAATATTTGAAGCATATTTCAAAAATGACAATTGTGTAATAATCAAGAGATACTGCACACGCATGTACTGCATTGCACATACCCCGTGGTATGCTCGCAATAACCTTATGTTATTTTTTCTTTACATTTCACCTCAAACTTTTTAGGCCTGGAGGTTATTGTCCACCTAATCTAGTGTATATGAACCACCTAATTCACTTGGACACCATGGTATAAAATAAATCTAATGAACCAAACTACACTAGCATGAATCATGTATTAGCACCTTTCACCATACAAATTAGGAAGACATACACGGAACATAATTAATATTAACCCTTTGGGAAGAAAAGTCCATACAGTTAACTATTGTCAACTTTAACAAATTAAAACCCACAATTTTTTGAAAAATTTGGATCAAGATCAGTATTAAAGTCAGTTGGAAATCATGTCCAATTATTTCAAATAAATACACAATAAAATCATCACAGGATTGATGTGTGGAATAATGAGGCCATGTGTAGATAATATTTTCCAAGCATTAATCATAACATAATACTCACTAGACTGCTATTTGCATGTAATTGTAAAAGTACATACACACTGTATTATTGCTGTTAAAAGTGACAAGTACAATTATTGAATAACTGAACATACCTGGTTGACTTCAGGGGCTTGTATTTCTAAAATCCGCAGTCTTTGAAAAGCTTCTAATTCAGATTCACCAAAAAGTAGTACTGGTTCTCCTCTTTCTCGTAGCCTTTTAATCACCTACAACAAATTAGCTATGAAAAATAAGCTCACGTAATCAGACAATACATGTATTCGATGACAGATGCTGTGTTTGCTTGTATTAGTCACAAACACTTACCGTACATACATGTAAATGACAGATGTATTTGTGATTAAAATAATTCGTAATATAATTGTCCAGCATACAATTATTGATTTACGGGCACTTCTTTTATGCCATATAAAACAAATTTAGTGTTTCTGGTAATGATCCAGGAAATACTGGGTAGGTAGGCAGGAATTTTTATTTTATTCTATTTTATTTTTTTTATTTTAGATTTTTGGAGAACATAATCAATCAAGCTTTAACTAAAGATATGATAAATGACATCTAAGTTAATTTTAAGAAAAGATTTCCTTAATACATTTAGGTGTTAAATGAGAGTTTATAAATAGAGTTACAATGTCATGAAACCAGATAAAATAATTTTCTTGCCCAGCATGTTGTACAAAACAAAACTCCGGTACATACAAATCATTTTACCAGTAATTTTTTTATATGATTATAGATATGTACCTCATCTCTAGACAGAGTAAGCTCTTTTCCTTGTGAGGTTCCTGCTGTCTGGACATCTGTATTTTCCTCCTCTGGTGCTTTTTCAGGTGAAATATTTTTGCTCTGAAAAAAAATATTAGAAAGATTAAGATTAATATATATATATTATATTTGTCATGTAGCTCTGCCAGAAAGCTAAACAATAATAATGACTGAATTTGAAGAATTGTAGACAGCAACTCATAACAGAAATTAATATTTCAATTAAGTTGATCAATACAGTTTCATTTTTATTTTTTCTGTAATGCACTTCTCAACATATTGTTCCATTATCTTGAGTTTCAAAAAATCGGACAGGCCATGTTTTACATCTCTGTTATCTCAAGGCTTTCTGGGTGGTTTTTTTGGGTGTTTATAAATGCAATAATTTAGAACAGAAAAAACTAAATTTCCCATAATGTAAATTACTTATTCATCTTGAAATTTGAAGTAAATTTTGAAAATAAATCTTAATTTACTAATAACACGTTTATCTCAAAAATATTGTCCCTTACCCAATTTTCTTTACATATCACTTTTTTACAAATGTACATGCACAGAAATAAGCAATATATTCACAAAGTATTAGCAAAAACATTCATCAAACCTCAGACATCACCGTACATGTAACAAACCGGAAGCTACACAATTTACAGGCCTAAAATGCCCTCAAGTGACAGAAATAGTGACAGAAATATCAGTCATGTAGTAATAAGTAGCAATTATACAGGGACAATTATCTTTATCCCACAATGATATGTACTCTACCAAACATGATGAAGTATTAACACAATCATGAACCATAGACTAGAGAACCAATTAATTAATAATGATCAAATACGAAATAATCATGAATCACATTATGTTGGCTCAAGAACAGTATGTGTAAATCCAAACTCACTTTACTATGTCTATTCCAGTAATCTTCCTCCTGCTTTGCCATCAAATCTCCTCTCTTAAAATATTTCTTGCCACTTCCCTAGAGTAGAGATCAAACATTGAATGATGAATACATTGCTTGCTGTTTCGGCTAAATCTTACGTCCAACCAAGGTGTCAATCAGCTGTATAAGTGGGACAAGGCTCTGCAAAGTGAGGTTACTACGTTGGTTGTATACATAGTGGTTTGGTCAAGATTTTAATGGTTTTAGCAAGAATTAGACCCATTTTATGGATATGTTTCAATTACTTGACATTTTGACATAGACTTGCATGCGCTACAGTCTCATGTTAGTTGTTTCTTGTTTATTTGATAAAAGAAAGGGCGAGTCTCTTGCCACGCCTGTGGCAGGAGACAATATGGTGATTGGCACGGGCGTGGCACGAGACAATGTGGTTATTGCCACGTCCCGGAAGTAAACGTACCGACGTTCTATGTGTAGTTTCGGCAGTCATATACAGATTTTTCACTTGTTTTACCATCGGTGTTTGAATAAAACACTTTCACAGTGGTGTCATTGGCAGAATAATTTCTATCCGCGCATTTTATACAAGATGCAAAGTTCAACCATTGGCGGAACCTTTGCATGCCCACAGGCGTGGCACCAGACACTCCGTAAAATAAAATATTAAGTGAGTGTAAAAATGGTGGAAGCCAGATTAAAATAAACTACTGGTACATGTGAACATACTTAATGTTTCTGTTTTTGTGTGAAACTATTAAAACAACGGACGAATATTTAGTTTTGGAAAGTTCAAAGTGTGTTCCAATAAAGAATTGTTGAAATTTTTGATTGGCATATCAAAATCCTTTATTGGAATGAACATGTTCTATATTCACCAAAAAACAACGTTGCTATGTTTCTAAACACATAATATACTCAAAGAAAAGAAACCGACCGATCCAAATGACCTGTGTTCTTGAAAATCAAGTCTTATCTCCCTGTGTTTCCGAGCTAAAAACTTTGAGGCCAAAAACTACTGGTTTTTTGGCAATCTTTTTGATAATATCATAAATTGAGTCAAATGATTACCGGTAGATAGGTTATTTATTTGAAACACTCAGTAAACCAAAATTTGGCAACAGTAACGAAAAATCAGTGATAATAGCCAATGGGATGAGGAACTGCGTTTCAAAAACATACTTTATAGATCGGGTATATAATTATATTCTAAGAATAAAATTGAATGTTGTAACAAGAACGATTTTGTGTTTTTCATTACACACATAAGTGTAGTGTTTCTGTCCCAATTTTGAGTGAACAGCGATAACTCGTTCATACATAATTATTAATTACCAATTTCTAAACAAGATTGATCTAACCACTAAACATATTAATAATAGGTAGTCTAACTGTATTTTAATATCAGATAGATTACTAAATCCACAAAATCCACAAATAACTTCTGTTTCTTGATTTCGATATGGCTGATAACACATACGCATGCGCAATGGTACCGGAGTTGATTATATACATGCCTATTTTAGGTCACATCATTGATGGTATATCGCTCAAAATATTTATTGGAAGGTGTCAACAGTTTATTTACCCGCTACAAGTGCTGATACAATAGATTGTGTTTCATTTTCTGACTGGGGATACTGTGGCCCATTCAATGTGTGGTCGCTTTAAAATTTACTACAGTTGTATGAATCTGTTCTTACCATTTTTTATCACAGCACATAATATGGTGGGAAACAGCCTGTGTGATTTGGTTGGGTGTTTGTGGAAGGGCCTGTATGATATGTTCTGCATAAATTTCTCATGGAGCTCCATAAATTTATCAACAATAACATAAGCAGAACAGCAGAAACAGTTCCCCCCTCCTGAATTATGAGAACTCATAAAAAAATACTTAAACAACTGATTCTTTTATTTCAATGTATTCCGAAAGTTAAATGAACGTCGTCGAAAGCTTTCTTTTATACTAATACTGAGTACTGGGGCAAACTTTTCAAAACAACAAGTGAACACATCGGTCTTTGAAAAAAAAAATGTAGTGAGACCATACTACACACTGTAACTACGCCAATCTTACCGTTACTTCATTCTTCGATAATTGCTTCTTCTTTCTTTCTAACTCGGCTTTTAAGAAATCCATTCTAAAGTTCAGTCAGAAGACAATTTTCATACCAAGAGTCATCTAAAAACGAAGAAATACGCCGATCGTCGATAATCGACATACGAAATCTCGAAACGTGTTTGTTTGTTTTGAAAGTATTTCCTCGTGTTATTTTCAGACTGTGGATTCGATTATGACTTATTCTGTATTTCAATAATAAAAGATAATCCATATATTTGAAATAAGCTTTGAACATTTGAATTCTATCTGTCATATGTCATTGTTTTAATGTTCTACAGAATGAACTACGAAAAACAATGTGTTTCATGAATCCACAGTTTGGTGTTTCAGCAATGAGCTCATTGTCCAGCCGGTAAGCATTAAGATTTGTTTATTGTTTACTAATTGTCTTGAGCTTCTAGACAGTTACTAGTATCACACCAAGATGACCGGATGCATTCTAATTATTATGTCTGTCTTTTTTTTCAGAATTTTGTAATAATTTCTTAGTTTCAATCCTGAATCCCTAAAAAGGGAGGGGGTGTAATCAAGCATTTATAAGTCAAGGGTATATAAAATTTTATTATTAGACTAGATGCCATCCATCATGCATTTGTGGCTATGAATAATAGCCTAGTGAATTAGTCTGGAGGGTTATGGGTTGGCCTTACGTATGAGTCAATCTGCGTTTGTGAGTTCCCATAGTAATGTACTGAAATCATGGAGACAACCATAATAATAATAATAATAATAACTTTATTGCATCCTTAGAAATCTAATGTTTATATCAGTTAATAGCAATAAAGATTAGTTGTGATAACTACTACTACAAAAAGAAAGTTAGTTGTAAAAAAGATAAAGCAATTAGTGATTACACAAATTCTGTGCTGTCTACGGATTTACGTAGCAATTCACTATTCCATTCTTGAGTGCACCGTGTTTATTTGGCCTAGATCATAGATTATTGCCCCCCCCCCCCACAGACATTATGGAATCTGAAATTGCCAATTAAAATGTATGCAGTATTCCCCAAATATACATTTACTTGTTTTCATGTTTTGCCATCATTAGTTTAAATTGTGATTGTACCATATATCACATGTATCTAGATCTGATAATTCATGCCACAAAGTGGAGTAATGTTTCTATGACTGAGTTTTTATGGATTGAGCTCTGTAGATGTGTGTGTGTGTGCATCCGGACCTATATCTTAGACATTCCTGGACCGATTACATTCAAACGTCACACATACATCATACACAATATTATACATATTATATACACATCAATTTGTTTCATGATCTGATTCAAGATGGCCGAATGGCAGTAATTTTTTGTGCTGACAAATCATCAAAATCAAGCATTTCTGGCATTCCGAAATCGGATCTCAGTCGTTTATGGATGGATTTTGTACATACATTGGACATTATGGGAGTATGGAAATTATGATTTTTAGATTGGATTTAAAATAGATATGCAGACGTATTCAAAATGACCATTTTGTTTTAATTAATGCTGTTCCAGAGCAATATATATCAATATGGATGCAAGTCCTTGTTTGACGATCAAATACAAGAAAACTGAATGTCAATCATTTTAATGTAAAAACCATCATAATCAAGCATCAGCAACTGGATCCATACTTCTGACATGTTTATGTTCAATCTGTATTATTATAAACAAAACTATATATCTTAAGTTTGATAACTAACAGGGACTGTGTCATGCAGAACTTGTTTTATATGGTTCAAATTAATGTATGGCTCTTGCCTGACCTGATATATTTGTGCATTTTTCTCATTCACAGTACCCAGTTATCATCTTCCATTGCAAACATATTGTGCTTGCATTCCATATACATTAATTTTGTTAGAGACAAATTTTCATGAATTTCACAAGTCAGTGAAAATTTCAGCAACTTTCAGAAAATTTTGTTTTTACAAATGCCCATTGAATCACAAAAATTAGGCACTCTACAGTATTTTATCATTCGCCTCGCCTCCCACACTGTGATTGAATAGTCGAGTATAGCTTTGATTTTTTTTTGTTCTATAAGATCATTTCTTTAAAGTGCCTAGGATTGAGGTTTACTGTCATTCACTGTTATTTTCATTTTGTGTCATCTGACATGAACGAAATCAAGACAGAAAAACTAACCCATTTGCCATAGATGCATTATGTGAATGTGAAAAACAAATGGCAATAATAAACTGAACAATTTAAACTACCTGACAAAATAAATGCTATTAATTATCTCATATATGTTACTTTATTTATATTTTCCGATTCACAGATAGTTTCTGAAAATCACCATTTTGTTGTGAAGCAACATGGCTGTGAGACCGTCCACATAACATGGTCAGTAGATAACAGAACGTATATGATTGGGGGATGTCATGGTGTATAACTTTGCGCTACCTTGCACTGACTATATGTGTTACGGTAGTAGTCAACAAGCCGCTAAAACCACTGACGCAATATGGGGAAATTACACTGGCCACGTACAATATATGGAACATTATGTTCAATTGGGATATCAGAAAGTACAGAATTGCTGAAATGGTACGTATTGTTCAGATATTGTGATATATGTACATGACAAATTTAAAATTTTTAAAATTGCATGATCAATCAATTTAGTTGAAAGTTTGAGTAACTTCGTCAAATTTGAAAGTCACTGCATTCGTGAATTATACAAATTGGACCTTGACATGTTTCATTGTTTATCTGTAATTGAGTTAATATTTTCTTTACTACAAAAAACTCCATGATCGATCAATTTAGTTGAAAATTTTGAGTAGCATTGCAAAATTTGACAGTCACTGCGTTCGTGAATTATACAAATTCAACCCTGACATTTTTCTCTGTTCATCTACAATTGAATTAATATTTTCTTTACTACATAAATCCTGTCATGTATTGCAGTTCAAATTCATTATTATTAAACTTATTTGTATTAGTAAAAAATTTTAACACATTACATTTTACTTTAATACTTAACATTATAATATTTTCTTTTTCTTTATTATTTGAATATTATTATTATACTTTGTTATACTTTTATTGCTACTGTACTGATAGAAATACTGTATTTCTAAAGATGCAATAAATATTATTATTATATGAAGGTGCAATGCTAAGCTACTTACATCTGATGCACATATTGAAAGCTTGCCTGGATGCAGTAGCATTATATGTATTCTTTAGATCCTTTATCATCCTTTAAATTTATAAGGCTAGTGGAGAAAACTTTAAGAGTCTGGTGTGCATCGCTGATTAAGTATAATGAGAAATGATTTGAATCGAATGTTGATTGTGATATAATTCATCTTCAGTTGTCAAACAGAAATTCTTCTTGTGATTAGCGACTTGATGATGTTTTGAAATGCACAATGCAATTCTACTGAGTGGTTAGCGGATATAAGCAACTATTGACCAATCATAGGATTTACTGTTTTATCAATCAATGAATATATAGACACATGATTGTAGAATGAAATAAAAGTACTCGAACTCATTTGCAAATTTTTATTATAAGTCAAGGAAAATCTAAAAATGTTGTAAAAATTAACGCATCAACTGTATGGGTTATTACGACATGAATCTTAGGGTTTTTGTGAAAATTTGTCTTTGTGAACATTCTTCAGTTATTAAAATTGATAACAATAAAAATATAATTTAATAATGAACTAAATTCACAATTATGTTAATAGATGAAAATGTTGTTGATTTATTTGATGTTTAGATCCGTGATGTTAATCCTGATATAATAGGATTTCAGGAAGTGAGATCTGATAGCTGGTCCGGCAGTTGGCAAGGTAGAAATCAACTGACAGAACTACAGGAACTGTTACCCTATCATAAATGGAAGGCATTTGTTGCAGTGCAACATGTCAAGGAATATCCTGGAACTGTACATGGCTTGGGTTTTAGTGTTGAAGGTAATTAGACAATGAAGTGAACAACAGCGATCGGTTTAGCAATGTGTACCAGAGTTTTTGTATTAGTTGACCAATGAAAAAATAATCATTTTTGGAAGTGGCTAAATTGTTAAA